GATTCGGCCCTCTTTCATCCAGTGCAAGTACTGCGTCACGCGGGGCGAGCTCGTGTATAGCCGCGTTTTGATCTGGTCCACCCGAAAGTCGGTTTGCGTGATGGGTGCGCCGCTCCAGAGATCAGTATCGGTATAGTCCTCAGTGTCTTCGACGAGTGTTCTATACGGTCGAATAGATGGAGATAGGGTCCTAGCACGTTTTGTGATTGGGCCTCCTGAAGTTGGAGACTCGGACGCCATCATCGCGCCGTCGTTGCCGCCCTCGGATGTCAAATCCGTGGACGACCTGTCGTTGTCTCCAGGGGCTCCAGAATTGGAATAGATGCTCTTTCGTTTCTGCTGGGATTGTGAATGAGAGGCATCGTTGGGTGCGCCACCACCGCGACGGCTCGCCCTGACGCCTGATGGTCGGCCAATGTTTTTGAACCCAGACTTGGTTCGTAGTGCGGCCAGCTTAGGGTCGTTGTAGAAATTATGAATGATTCTAGACACGTTAAAGGCAGCTCCCTGCTCAACCCACAGCTCATGCAGACGCTGGCGCATCCACTCCAGGGGGTGAATGTCGAGTCCGTATTTGGCCAGCTCGCTCAGCGTCTCGCACAAGCGGAACAGGGTATCGTACGAGGTAATGCTCCCCTTGCCAGACGTAGTGTATTTCTTACTCAGGAGCTGGTAAGGACTAATCTCGCCTTCGTCCAAAAACTCGAGGATTTTCAAGCCGCGATTGACTTGTCGTCCCAGCTGGAATCTGGTAGAGGCCTTGTCTACGCCCTTGTCCTTTGATTCCATGGCCTGCTGGTGCTTCTCCCGCCACTGATTTAGCGGCGTCTCGATTAAGGCTCTGATATCGGGCCACTTAGGATCCCAATATGGGTGGCTTGGGTCAATCTTCTCCAGAGGAACGCCCTCTATGATTTCTGGATGAGTGTACACTTTGCCGTTGTGTCTTAGAGAGAGGGTCTCGCGAGTGATTTTAGGCAGGTCTGGCTCGTCCAGATTATCTGATGGCTGAGGTGAAGCCTCCATCGAGCGTGGTGTAGGAGTGTTGAGATCCTGGGACGATGGCCGGCTCGGGACGTTTGCTGGCGTGAATCCCGTGCTAAAGGGGTATGCTCGAGACTCTGGCCGGTCCTTGGGGGTCAAGAGCTGCTCTGTTTGGTAAAAGGCCGGTCGGCTAGTAGGCAAACCTCGCCTCTCTGATACTGTGGGCTTGACTTCGTCGCTGTGCATAGACCTGGCGCTGACTGCTTCAGCAACACCAGCGGCAACGGCGAGCGCCTCCTCCGTAGCCAGCTGTTTTCTAGTCTGCATCTGCTGTTCTAAATCCCGCCCTTGGCTATCGTCTCGGTCAGCAACCGCCTGGTTCACATCTGCCTCTTCTTCAGGCTCCCGAGGTGTGTCTGTTAATATCCCCCTTTTAGTATCGCCGTCTTCTCGTAGTGGTGGTGGCGGTGGAGAGTTTGTCTCCTCAGCGGTTCCGTTTACCGCCTGCCTTGAGGAACTATCCCCGTTGGTCATGTCTTTTGAGGCTTGTTCATCTTCTCGAGGGGTCCCCTCAGAAGAGACCTCTTCGTCCGCAACAGGAGATTCTCCCAGACCGCGGTCCCTGCGCAGAGCCGCTCCATGGCAGCCCTGGCGATTCCACTCGCAGTTGCCACACTTTTGAAAAAGCGGCCCGCCAATGATGATGCAGTCGTCAAAGGCGCCTTGGTTCTTGTCGCAGGAGATGCACCGTTGGGCCTGGACCTCGCCAATGGCTTGGATCATGCAGGAGAGCCACTTGACACCCTTTGCTTCTGTGTGCTCGTAGATGCCAGCGAGGTGGTCAGTGGTGAACTTGCGTCCGCGGCGAATCTTGACTGGACGCTTGATGGGCAGGCCCAGGATGGCCTTGACCCATTGATTCCACGGCTCCGTCTTGTTAATGGGCCCGATGACTCGGCCGTCGGCGTCAACGAGGTCAACAAGAGCCTCGACTGGCTCCTGCAAAAGTCCCTTGAACGAGGACGACGGCACGATGGGGGTGATGGGCGTCTTTGCCGCTACATTACGGGTGACTACGGCGGGCCGCTGCGGCAGATCGTTCCAGTATTCCACGCCTTCCATCTCGGTGGCATCGCTGTCGGTGGTTTCTCGTGGGGCGTCGGCGGTTTTAGGGATGGCTTGATCGTCTCCAGACTCAGCTCGAGCTTTGGCCGCAGCATCTCGCTTTTCCTGAAACCAGCGAATCATGGTCTCGGTGACCTTTTCCCTCTGCTGCAGAAAGTCTTGCTCCTCATGGCGATACTTTCGCTCAATGGCAAGTATAATCTCGGTCCTTCCATCGCATTCGGTGACGACGGCGGCCAGCTCCTTGTCGACTTGGCTCAGCTCCAGGGCGAGCCTCTCGCGGACCTTGCTCAGCTCATTGCGCTTTCCATCCAGTTTGCCCAGCTCGACTTTTGCGTCTGTCAGGGCCAGCTGGTACTCTCTCTCCTTTTCTGAATGCTGAGCTGCTTGCTTGGCGTTAAAGTCTCTCCAGAATTTGCCCTCAGCCTCGTCCCAGACGAACTTGTGCTCGTGGGCAGGGAGGTGCTCCCACGTGGACGCCTCGTCCATGCTCCTTGCTTTGATTGTTTTGGCTTTTCCGTGTTTTTCTCCCTGGCAAAACTGTTGTGTGTGCTGTCGATGAAAGAAAAGAAGCGGGTGTTTGAAATGATAGGGTGCGAAGCAAGCAATCCGTCGTAGTGCCGGATCGATATAGGTAGATTGGAATTATGAAAATCGGCTTCTTTGGTCCCCGTCCGGCTATGTTTCTTTCAACGCAGAAAAGGGCGGTCCTGGTAACCAATGTAAATCAGGTATGAAAATGAAAAAGCGGCGTCTCAGCGCGCTACAGCCAGCCTGCAGGAGAGTCTTGTTCTTATCGTCTTAGTCCCCGAGTGATGTAAGGGAGGCTCAACCATAGTCTCCCGTGGATCTCGACGCTATGATGTGCTTTGTAGCAGCCGGCAGCTCTTGTTGTTTCAAACGGTCTAGACCATGACAATCAATGGCGATGACAATGCGAGAATCGTGGCAGTGGAAGGAATCATATAAGCAGGGCGCGTGGGTGTCGCATGCGGCGATGCTTGGCTATAAGTTGTTTGAGTCCAGGACCAAGCGGACCAAGGTGGGGAGGGGTGTGGATTGATTTTGGCAGCGAAAGCTACGCCTAGTCATCATGGTTAGTCACCAGACAAATAGTCGAACAAGAGTCCGGGGTGCAGTTGGGGGGTGTATAGAGAGAGGAATATCAAAGGGGAGGTGAGTTGAGTTGAACCGAGGCGATGCATGTGGAGATGCAAAGGCAAGGCCAGGCCAGGGTTTGTGAGATGTGAGAGCAGCCCGGTTGGAAACTTGGAGGTGTACGAGTATGTACACGTACAGTCCACGTAAACACGTACGAGAATAGAAGGAGAAGGAGAAGGAGAGTCGATGGAAATGGTGTTGAACAAGGGACAGGGGAAAGGTTGTGGTGTGGACTGAGCGGGAGGAGCCAAGAGTCAATGCATCTCAGACGCAGATGCAGAAGCAGGGCAGAGAGACAAGAGACATAGACAGGGTAAGGGGTATGACAGGAAGGATCCAAAGACAAGGCAAGACAAGACAAGAGGCCAATGTCAGAGTCAGATCAGAAAAGAAAACGGCCGAAGCCCCATGAGCCGGCTGCGTGTGCCGAGATGCGGGATACGGGTTGAAGGAAGATACGATCAATGCTCGCACAGGCACAGGCACAAGGCACCAGCCGCATCGAGAACAAAGACCCCATGGCATAGCCGCATGGACGAAACGGAAGAGCAGTGCAGTTCTACTAACCTGGCGGGCGGTTTTCATATCTCGTATTACTGATCAGAGTCGATCCAGCCGGCTGTCGAGGAATCCGGCTCCACTGAGGTTTTATATATCGTCTGGATACTAAGCTTGCTGACCTAGTCTGGGCCCAAACGCAAAAAGTCCGACTCAGAGCGGAAAACTGGGAGTGTCGCGGGCTGGGCTGGGCGTTGGAGTAAGCGCAAAGGAGCGAAGGAAGATAGCTGGAGAGAAGGGCGTTGGATCGCTGCAAGGGGGTTCGGAGGATTTGTTTGTTTGTTTGTCTGTAGGAGAGACAAGATGAAAAGGAATAGTAGGTGAAGTGAAGTGAATAGTAAAAAGAAGAGGAGAGGTGAGGAGAGGAGAGAGAGAGGAAAGGAGGGAAGAAGGAAATATGGCCGAATATGGGGTGATGCAAGAAGAGAGAAGATGAGAAGAGGAAGATGCACAGGCAAGGAACGAACGCACTTACGGGGCAATGGCAGATAGGATGCGGAACGTGTTGCGCTTCTTGTCACCTGCCAACAGCTGATTGATAGGTGGGATTTACAGCACGGGAGGATTTGGATCAGGATGGATTGGATTGGATTGGATTGGGGGGGAGAGCAGAGCGAGAACGAAGAGAATCGATACGGAATTTCCGCTGAATAATGCAGCGAAACAAGAAACAGGGCCAGAAATTAATAAACAATTTGATTTGATGTGGAAGCTAGTCACTGCAGAGGAAATAGTACAGTATGTACTCGTAATGTAGTTTCGAAAATGAATCCAATGCAGTTTAATCTGATAGGTAATAAAATATTAACGACAACAGGACTGAGGAAAAAGGAAAAAAGGACCAGACCTGCCCAGAGCGGGTACGTACTTTGTTGGTCCGGGTCCGGGTATGTCCCTTGTGTGGACGGCGAACTGAATTGGCTGTACAGTACCTGTACTTTTACTTCAGTGGACGATAGTGCCGGATGGATGCCCGTTCAGCGCACAAAAAGGGATAATGCCGACCGCTGAGTTGGGCAAAGGGCCCCTAGGCTTGGCGAAGCGATAGCCTAACGTCGTATCCCTCGTAGTGGCTTCTCGGGTCTTGTCTTGGGGGGGGGTGCACAGCCTGGACTATCCTATCAGTTGAGACGCCGTCCGTCTTCGTCTTTTCTTTCATCTGGGCTTCCATTCGTCTCCTCCCCCCCCCCCCCCCCNTTCCACTGTAAACTAACGGGTTTAGGCTTTTATTTCTAAGTGTCATCATTTTTTTGGGTTTTATTTTATTTTATTTTATTTTATTTTGTCTTCTTCGTCGGAAACCGCTGCAATTAATTGGTCAAAAGTTCCGCCCTCCCCCAGTTCTGACACTAGCTAGCATGGCATGAGGCATGGCAAAGAGACGCAAAGAAAAAAAAAAAAAAGGCCGTTTGACATGACAAGTTGGCCCGTCTAGGCAATTGTAATTCCCGGCGGCGTTGGGGACGGATTTTACGGCACCCACTTTGTCCTGCATTTCCGACTGCAAATACGCTGGCTGGGCTGGGGGGGAGAGAGACGGATGCTCACTCATACTCATAACGGCCAAGCCAAAACCCTGGAGGGGGGACGAAAAGCGCAAAAGCTTCTTTTTCGGGGTCCCCTGTCGAATGCCAAGCTTGAGAGAGAAGGTTATGAGCAAACAAGGCGCAAAATAACATAAGCCATTGATCAAATAGCTCAGCATAGCTCAGCATAGCTCAGCATAGCATCAAGCATTTACATACTGTACAGACAGTAGAAGTGACCTGACCTGAGCTTGGAGAAGTGAGATAAGATTTGGGGGAGAGCGTTGAGGCTAAGGTAAAAACGAGAGGCACTTTGTCAGCACGAAAATCAGCATTGATCCATCCGCACCACTCAGGACTGCAGCTTTTCTTTTTCGCCCTTGATTCCGTCACGAGACGATAGTAATGCAAATTAAGCAATGAAATAAAAATGAAATAAAATAGAGAATGAGAGAAATAGAGAATGAGTCAAAATGCAACAGCGGAACAACATTCGCTGCGTGCTGACTAGGTCATGTAGATTGCGATCAATCCGACACGAACCGAGGCTACATGTAGTTGGAGGGAGCTAGGAAACAAGCTGCAAATGGCCATCGCCACGCCTCAATTGGCTCTCGTACAATCAAGCCGCTAACTGTCTAGTCCAGTATAGTAGACACACGTACGTATTGACTCATCATCTCTCTGCATTCGTCCGTCGTTGCTCGTCCGCCCATCCGTCCGTCTCCTTCGTCTCTATTGCGGCCTCTCCAGCCCATGTCAAGCACCAGACCAGACACTAATCCGCGCCTATAATACGAGAATGGACACCAATACCCGGAATCCCTCCAACATGCAGAGCACGACACTTGTACTATCGTCGCTCGTACTCACACCAATCGAATACTTACCCGTACTCTCACCTCACCTCAACCTATCCATCTATGCAAATCAAACCAAATCCGCCCAGCTCAGCAGCACAAAGTGGCACCAGCAAAAAAATCATCGCCTCAGCTCCCTCACCCGAGTCATTCAAAACTCTTCGGCCTCGCTATAAACAACGAAATGAAATTGCCCTTCTCAAGTGCCGCCGTTCGCCTTCTCCGCTCGCTGTCCGCTCGTTGTCCGCTCCCCTCGCCTCTTGTCTTGTCTTGCTCTGTCCGTCTGGCTCTCGCCATTTGACTTCTCTCACGCTCTCGCTCTCGGCCTTGCCTAGTCTCGTCCTCTTCCATCTCGCTCTCGCAGCTCCTGTCGAATCCGGGCAAAGAGCAGCAAGCCAGACATACCGCTGGCCCCATCTCCGGACCAATTGCGCGTGCCGGACCGTTGATCCTTGTCTCCCCATCCCCAACTCGGTCTCTAGCTAATCGTAACTGACGACTACCGCACTCGAGGCTTGTCGAGTCTCGTCTCTACCGTATTACTGTCTACTCTAGATTTAGATCCTCCTGCCATCGTATCATCCTTCACTTCATTCTCTCTGTATCTGTCAAAACGCCATGTCTCGACACTCAGCAGCGGATCCCGCACGCGCCCCTTCACACAAACCCAAAAACTCAAAAAGCACGCCTCCCCTGCTTGCAGCTCCGCCAGAGGCTCTGCTTTCACGACAAATTTGCTAGAAAATTATGGGCCGGAAGCTTCAACCGCCTCTCACTCACTTCACTCACATCACAAACAACTTTTTGTCTTTGCCTTTGAGGCTGGGGGAGGTGATGATCGTCGCTGTTCCTCATGCAGTTTAGCCAAAGGCGATGTGCGCAACGCTTAATCCAACGCGGCCCAACAAAAACCCTTGAAAGCTTGTCAGACATTGACTGCGGTATTCCGCATTTCTTTTACGAGTACTCTCTCATTCTCTCTCTCTCTTTTGTGATTTTTGTTGTCTAAATCCTACCGGCAGCTTATTTCCTCTTTGAGCCTTTTGGCGGCTATCGCCCTTGTCATCTATCCGATGCAAGCCCCCCCCCCTCTTACGTAGCTGGTTTGTCGTGGGCTGAGTGGTTGGTTTTATTTTTGTTCATCCCCAGCGTGCTTTATTTTCCGGAGCAGCCACGTTGAAATGGTTTGCGAGCTAAGAGGGTTGGTAGCGTACTGTGGAAAACAACATAGTCTAGTACCGTATCCGTCTTCTATTTCGTACGAGTGTGTACGGTACTAAACTTGACCTGCCTCATGGAAGTGGAAAGTTGATCCCTGCTGCTGCTGGTCCCTTGTCTTCACTCCCTTGTCCAAGAGCCCATCGTGTCTATGCTAGTGCCCAGCCCGTAATACAACCCTTGGCCGGGAATCTCATCATCATCTAGGCGGCCAGTCCACAAGGGCAAGTGTTGGGTTGGGTTGGCTTTCAGCCCTCTCTCGATTTTCACGTGCCAGCCAGCCGCATCAAGCAATCTTTCCGAAATCGAAATCTCGCTCATTCTGCCTTTGTCTCGCTCTATCTCTCTGCTTCTACCTCTATCTCTCTCATATCCCCTCTCTCGCGCGCGCCTTGGCACCTCTCCCATGAGTTAATACCGCGAGAAAACTGCGAGAAAACGGCCGAACGCTAGATAAAGGACCATGTAATAATGCATGCGGCAAAAGCCCGCACCCATTCCATGTTCCATGCTATTCCGGGGAGATCTAAACGCGCTGATACCTTCCATTGCGTCTGGCGGCGGTGGGCTCCGATCCCTGTCGCCCCCGGTCCATGGACAACATCCAAGTCCGCTATCGTTTTTTTTTTTTTTAATAATTCCATGTTCTTCTCTTTTTGATGGCCTTCTTCGCTTAGTTCTGGAACAAAGTCCAGTCCAGTCCAGAGTCCAACAAGGGGGGAGGGGAGGACACCAGCTTGGTTTATTGGACGATAGGATCCTGACTTGAGATTACTCAACATGATACACAGCCAAGCCCAAGCATGGCGGAGCGAAAGAGGGGAGACGCAAAAGAGTTAAAGCCAGCCATTGATGGCCAGCGAACTTGCTCGTATACAAAGCAATGTGTCGAAATCATGCGGAAAATACTGTCTGCTAATGACAAACTTGACTTCGCATCGCCTCCGTTAAAAACGCCTTGTCAGCAAAAGCCTAAATCGTCCTGTGCATGTTGGCATCATCATAGGCCACGCCAACAGCCTGCTAGCAGCTCTTGGCTGTTTGCTCGTCTACGAGCCAAAATCTCCCGCCAGATGAGACCATGAGAAGACAAATCCCAGCCTAAGGAAAGCCACGGGCCAGCAAAAACCAGGCATGGGTAGGACGAAAAAAGAGACCAGCCACCTGGTCTTTTTTTATTTTTTTTTCGCTTCCCTCGCTTATACTAGTTGAAGAGCAACTGGCAAATGACAAACATGAAAAATAGAACTAATAAAAAATAAAAGAAGAAAAAAGGTTCTGCTCAGACGCAGCATCCAATGATGAAATCGCACAAGTCACGCAAAGACGCATCATGACTCGATGCTAAGAATGGCAATATTATCAATCATCAACGGGCTTTCTTCCGCCTTGTCGGGAACTCCTTCTCCACACACCCAGACAAAGACATGCGTTTTAGAGGCCCCCACGTAAGACCAGGCCTGCATCTCATCCATAGGTTGACTTATACAAGCTGGCATCTTTCTTCATTCTCTCACTGTAACGGTAACTGTGCTGTATGTACCCGCAGACCCTGTCGAGGCACGGCTGGGCTGGGCTTGACTGGGCTTCCCCCCTCCCCCCTTCAACTACTATCATTACTATATTCGTAATTCCGTAGTTGCTGCACCGTCATTGCCCAGAGAGAGTATAGATTGAGGCTTGCGTTGCCCAAACCTATCCTCGATCCCCCTACTGGTCATTAGTCCCACAAGCACAAGAGCCGGAACCAACGCGGCGGCGCCACAAGATGCTCTGGAACATCAACTGACCATCGACCCTTTTCTTTCTTCCTCCCTTGGCACGGAGAGCATGGATTAAGCATGTATGTACGTATGCTCCCTGCGGCATACGAAAATGCCTTGGTGCCAATGACGGAAAAGGGCGAAAACGGGTATTCGCTCCCTGCAACCCTAGATTCGTGCGGCCCTCGGTAAGCTGCTCCATATTCCATTGTAGATTGAATGCTGATCCAAGTAATGCTCCTATGATTCATTAAGGAAATTACCGGGGGGGCCATGCATTAACGTCCTTCCCCCCCCCCCTCCCCTCCTATCCCTCGTCGAAACGGTAACCTACTTAATACTGCATGTGTCTATTACTGCATCCCTTGTTGAGGACCAGGCCACGAAAAAAGAAGGGCTTATTTCGTTCCTCTTTCATTCTGATTCGTACTGGCCGCTTTTTATCTTTCCTTTTACCCCACAATAAGCCCTGTCAACTTTCTTCAACGGGCGGAAATAAATTGCATCGCAATAGAGCGCCGCCTCTTTTTCCTCCTCGGAGTGCGCCCTTCGGAGAAGGCACTTTTTCGGAGAACCGCCGTTGGCTTATACTCCGGTCTCCGCTAAGGGCCAAGTTTGCGTTGCTACTGCGTCTCCGTGTACTGTGCTGCCCTCGTACGAGAAATACGACGAATCCCTGCTGTTTTGTCGTATCGTGTGTGCTGATTGCGTGTCCGTGTTGGTGTACGGAGTACCGAGTGTACAAGGCAAAATGTAGAGTTGCGGCATGGCTGCTGCGTCGTCAGATTTTGGTTAATTGTTCCCAAGAAGGTTAAAATACACAAAAAAGGCAAAAGGTCAAAGTGTTTGATCATAGTTCCCTAGAACATCAGGCAAGGACAAACTACAGCGGGCGTCATAACCAAGTATCCTATTCTACAGGTATACGAAAAGAACGTGAACAATCTGAGACCCCTAGAGATCTTTTGTTACCATTGTCCAATGAAATGGCCGCTGCGACCTTGGTGTATGGGCAAATATGGGAAAAATATAACCTATCACTTATACAGCTTTAGCTCGCCCCCTACCGAAAATATGATATGGGATATGGAATCATTCAAGGGACAGACAGACAATAACACACATCGCATCTCGGGGATCTAGCCTCATTCTCGGCTAGTCCGCCTTTGCCAGTCCGCATTATTCAATCTTGCCACATGCATTCTGCCGGTACCGACAGCGTAGTGGGCGAACGTACAGTAAAACGACGACCTCTTTTGGAAACCAGGCGAGAAAAAGAAGCCCACACTTTGTTTGCTTTGAGCCAGAGGTACTCTACTTGGTACTGGGCAATATAGCATTGCTACCTTATCTAGGTAGGTAGATGATACGGGCCATGTGCTTTGTGCAAGTCAGTTCCCGGAAACGGAACCCCGGTCAACTGTTGAATCTCTATCGCCCATCAACGAGACCCGATTCCGTATGCCAAGGTAAAAGAAAAAAAAATAATCTGTATCCGGGTGTGTATGAGTAATTCATCATCTATCCGATCAGAATAACCCAAACCCGAAAAACGGCAGCAACTTCCAGGAAAATAAAATAGCATAACACACAAGATAAAATAAAAATTAGTTAATAATCACTTTTAAAAAAACATAGCCACGCGTTTATGCCGCGGCAGTTTCGAGCTTTACCCAGAAAAAAACAACCTGCAGGTCCAAAAAGACAAGACAGAAAAAAAGCAGCTGCTCAGCGGGCGATAGACATCCGGACCCCCCTTAATAACGCCAAACCAGGCATTACAAAGCACCTTGGCTAAGCACAAACCTGTAATTCTTTTTTTATTTTCCAATTATTAACAAGTTGAAGACGGAAAAAGGGTCACAACAGGCGCTTCTTTTGGGTAAATCCATTCGATGTAGCTAAAGCTCGTACCATGGTGGGCGTGTGTGTTGTGTGGTGTATATGTCTCTCTGTATGTGCGATGTTGCAAAGAGACAAAGAGAACCAAGTTGTCTTAAACTCCGTATTACTCATTTGTCTCTTTACCTCCGCGCTTCCTTTATCCGGGCCGCGTCTTTTTTACCCTTCTTGGGAATTCTCTTCTCCGGGACGGACGAGTCATTCACTTTTGTCTTACTTTTTGCCTCTTATGACTTGTGAGGATGACATGTCATGGAGCCAAGAAGGTAAGAGAATTTTGATTTCGAGGAAACCCCTCCCGTAGATAGACTGAACTTGTGAGACACAGAGTTTCATTAACTCCCCGCAAGATGGGGCTTAGAGCAAAAGCCTCAGAAAGCACAAACCAGGGGTTTACCGGCGGCTCTCGGCCACCCGAAGATGGGGCACATGAGGGGCAGCTTGAAAGAACTGTTGTAAACGAAGCAAAGAAGAAAGAGAAAGAGAAGCATTAGCTCGTGTTCGTGTTGTCTTTCATTTCCGAGACTTGGGGGGTGTGTGTCTTGGAGAAGAGGCGTTGGCTGGGATGACGATGACAGTCTTGGTGATGATGGGCTGGGCTTGGCAACTCTTCGGTCGTCCTCGGACGTTCTTTTGTTTGATGATACTTTGTTATTTCGTGGCTTGTACTTGTAAGCCTGCATGTGAAAGGGACATGTGAGCGATTCCCCCCTTGTTGAAGGTGGCGACTTGCATGAAGCCGTTGTTCAACCCGGGGGTTCTATACGAGTTGCCGTTTAGTGAAGGTTGGTACGAAGCTTGATGGTTAGGGCGTGTCACGTTGCGTAAGAGTTGGGAGGAAAGGAGGTTGTGGTGGTATTGCTGGCTGTTGAGTCTGTTTCGAATTACGAAGTAGGTTGCCAGTCCCAGTTGCGACAACCTGAGTTACGTTGTCCCCCCTTTCTGAGGACTCAAGGAGCACGAAGCGGCCCATAGGTTGGTTGTTGACAATTTGAAAATAGAGTCGAGTATAGAAGAGAAGGAGAAAAGTGGACAACCAATCGTTCTCCTTCAGTCTATCAATTCTGTTGAGAGAAAGACAACTAATTGTGGGCACCTAGCGACAACTCCGCTGAAGTGGTTTGTCAGTTCCTTTGAAAGAGTCAGTTGACAAATCACTTTGCAGGACAGAAATCTCTTTCGACAACTCGCAACGCATAATACAACTATAATCGGCTTAACTAGTTCCAACCAGAGACGATAGTATTCAATAGGACATGCTATACAAGCACGAGTTTCCTTTACAGCTCGCCTGTTGCGAAATTAACAACCAGACACGAAGTAAATCATCCCACAACTCCTACGCTTGCAAAGTTGCAGCGAAGACTAACAGTCAGACAAGTTATATTTAGGTCCTCGAAACCTATCGAAACCTTTCAGCCGTTCGGCAGTTGCAAGGAAACAGCCGCTCTTCGAATTCAAAATCAAACCGCAGTCCTCCAACGGTCGAACTTTCTCAACTCCTTCAAATCCGCTCGTTGTCAGAGACAAAAGACAATCTTCCCACGAACGACAACTCCCTATTACACGGTCAGAGATAAAAAGACAACCGTCCATTAACGATAACTCGCGCTAATACACAGTCAAAGGCAAAAGCCAATCCCCCGTCAACGTTACCTCGCTAATCAAACAATCCCAGAAACAATGCCAACTTCGCTAATTCACAACCAAATACGAAGCCCCAGTCCTCCATCAACAACAAAACAACTCACTAATCCACAACCAGAAGATAAAATACAATTCTCCGTCAACGTTACCTCGCTAATCAAGAACGAATTCCCCCCTGTCAAAACAGGAAATGGGCCGACTCTGTTCTGGATACACCGCCAGAAAATAGCCCGCTCGTTTACAACCGGCTAGAGAAAAATAACTCCCGACGATAAACAGCCCTGGGTCGAAAGAAAAGGAAACAGGAAAAGAAGATACTCCGCCATCAAAACATCCCTCCTCTGGACACACCCTCTGCCCTCTCTAGCTCTCCATCCCACCCTGGAAAGCTATCGTTCAACATAACCGACGCCAAGTCCTGTTCAGCACAGTTTCACATTAACCAACTCCCAACTCCCTAACAGATGCCATGTTCAACTCCCTACTAGACGTCATGTCCAACACAATTCATGTTCATCGATGTCATGTCCAGCCCGATTTCACGTTGATCTGTTCCATACCCAACTCCGGTTCCTAACCAGTGCCATGTCCAACTCGATTTCACATTAACTATGCCTTGTCTAATCCCCTAACTAGTGTCATATCCGACTCCCTAATCGATGCCATGGCCTGTTCGGAATAGTTTAAATTAACCAATGTCATGCTCAACTCCCTAACAGATGCCATGTTCAACTCCCTAACAGATGCCATGTTCAACTCCCTAACAGATGCCATGTTCAACTCCCTAACAGATGCCATATTGAACACAGTTTTGCATTAACGGATGCCATGCCCAACTCGATTTCACGTTAAACTATTCTATGCCCAACTCAGGTTCATATTGACTAGTGTCATGTCCGACTTGATTTCATATTAATTAATGCCATATCCAACTCTCTAATCGTGTTCAGAACAGTTTCACATTAACCGGCTCCATGCTCAACTCCCTACCAGATGCCGTGTTCAACTCAATTCATGTTGACCGATTCCGTGTCCAACTCGACTCCCGACAATCTGCCACAACAACTACAATCAATCATCCCTTACTACATCATCATCATTAACAGACTTCTACTCTCCCTCATCCAGCTCCCCGTCATAAAATTCACGCAGACTCGCCCATCTTTTAATAGACAACCAGTTGTTGTGCAATACGGTATTCATTGATTTATATATATCCGGTACCTAAAACACACAAAGTGTATCATATATACCGATTTCATCCTCCTCTACACCCAGCCAACATATTAAAGTACACTCCATCTCACTGAACGGCCCATCTGTTAACAGCCCGTCAGGAATCACACTCCCTCATCATAACGCCATGCCATGTCAATCCCAAAAGAATAAATAAAACGAAGCAAAAAAAGAACCATAAAAGCGTAAACCCCCATCCGAGATATCGAACAGTGGTAAAAAAAAAAAGGGGGGGGGGGGGGGGGGGGGCGGTGATTTGCTCGCCGTGGGATTCACCAGCCCCATTAAAGCGTTCGTTCGTAAAAGAGTAATAACTATAAAAATAACAATCAAATCAAACGCAGGAGCTGCAAAACAACTTAGTGCCGAGATGAGTAGCGGTTCGTCGGCGAGTAGGGCATGTCGTAGCCGCTAGACTGGGCATAAGGATCATCGGCGTAAACGGTTCCACGGCGCTCATCTTCTCCGAGGAGTTCCTTGACTTCCCAGTTGTTCATGCGAGTGCCGACAGAAAACTCGAGATCTTCCTTGGTGATGGAGTCCCAGTACTGAAAAGAAGAAGAAGCGAGTTAGCAAAACGGCACGTCATACATACATAGGCTCATAAAATCGGAATATGTCTTCTTACCTTGTAGACCATCATGACGGCCAGCAGATTGCAGATTGTGGCAAAGAACAGGCCGTCCAGGTAGTGGCTCACGGCAACGCAAATCTTGGAGCTGAAAGCATAGAGAATGACCTGGCCGGCAACAAAGAAGAAGATGCCAAAGGCAATGTCACCCAGCGGCCACCTGTCCTGCAGCGTTCTGACAACAAGCAGGATCTGCATGCCAACGTAGACAAAGAGCTCAATGGCATTGAGCAAGTACAGGACGACAAACAGACCGATAGTGTTGGTCGGACCAATACCCGCCCATCCCTTGAAAGTGGCCAGCGAGACGAGGAAGGAAATGGCAAAGGCAACGACGGAGCAGAGCCACAGCATCCACACCGACAGCGGCGTGCCATCCTCGTACAGTTGAAAGCCCACAAACCCATTGACCAGCAGACACGTCACAACAGCACTAGTCAAGCCATTCTGCACGCTCGAAAAGTAAGGAAACGGCCCGCTGCCCGCAGGCACAACACCAGCATCCACAACGAGCGAGATGAAAGTGAGCAGCATGTAGAGGTAAAAAAAAGTCAGAATCTCCTTGCGGCCGACGGCAGTGAACTTGGAGCGCACGTGCAGGATCATGATGACGGTCATGACGAGGGCGCCGATGTGGGCGAAGGAGGCGGCGCCCTCGAAGATGATTGTGTTGGCCACCTCGATGTTGCGCGCGTAGCAGCTGGGCTCGATGCCGACGCGGCCAGACGACGACAGGACGGGGCCGACGGAGGCGCAGAGGGGCAGCGGCGTGTGCTCGCAGATGGACGTGAAGTCGCCAAAGCCAGACATGATGGCGGTGGTTTTTGTTGAGAAGCGATTCGAGCTTTGGTGAGGGTATCGTCGGGAGGTTGGTGTCGTTTCGTTCGATGTTGTCGTAACAAGGTATCGCAAGCGCGCGAGAATAAACAAAACAAACGAGCGTCGGTCAAAAGCTCAGCAACAATCTCCTATCATCCGTCTTTTGTTTCCCAGATGACCCTCAAAAAGCGCAGCTTCCTCTCGATGCGACAAAAAAAACTCCCAAACAAAAACAAATAATATGCCACTTTTTCCGAGATCCCTCCCCCACGAAAATAAACGAGCGTCAGGTAAAACGATTGACCGGGGAGGAAAATAAGGAAAAAAAGAAAAGAAACGCAGTCGCTTGGTCTATGCGAATCCCTCAAAAGTCGTGTTTCGATGGTGGTTTTGAGTCGAGCAGATTCCGGATACGAGGCCGCTGGGCGAGGAGTTGCGAGGCGCAAGAACGGGAAGAAGGGCGCCAAAAGAGAGACAGAGAGAGAAGAGTGAGAGCTGGGGGGGGGATTATGGGGGACCCACCAAGAGGGAAGGTGACTTGCGTGAATACGGGGAAACGGTCATCTTTGCAAAGTATCTTTTTTTTCTGTCTCTTTTCTATACGAGATACTGTAGTGCGCATGATATATGAGGAAACAAAATGGGTGAAGAGAGCTATATTATTTACAGAAGAAGAGATTATTATTAACATCTTATTCAGATACACAACAGATTGGACTCAATGCAGGCCCATCAATGTACATACATACAACTATGTTGTGCATTGTCTCCATTAATTACCTTTTACTCCCTTGATGCGATTCCATCGTACTAAATCCATCCGCACAGTGGAGTCACCCGTCAGATCACCAAGGAAACAAACCCATTCACCTGCTTATTATCACGATTACTATTGGATCACCACTCACAAACATCAACAATAAATACTATTGCACACATACAATGCGCAATCTCAAGCATAAAATGCATCAATTACAATCAATTCATCCATCTAACAAGCCCCCTCCGCCGTGTCAGATTATAATACTGGTTCACCTTCACCCTTCCCAAATAACCCCCCATTCAGCATACACTGTACACATCATACAAAGCACATACCCTACAACAACACCAAAACAATAAAAATGAACATCTTCACTCCCTCCCTCCCCAAATTCACCCTTAGAATGAACTAAAAATTATTCAAACGCCCTTCTTCACCCTACCAATGATAATTCTACATCTCCCACCAACGTAATTTCAATCCATCCCTTGACATCAAGTCCCGTGCAGTCAGTATATCCGTTGCGTTGGACATAGTCCAAGACAAGCAATCACATCAACTCATCACCAACACTCACACTCACATTCACACTCACACTCACAACTCCATCAAATCACATCCCTTCACAGCAAAGCAGCACATCACACAATCAACATCAAATACACATCACACAATCAACATCAAATACACATCACACAATCAACATCAAATACACATCATCAAGACAAATGGCCCTTAAACCACAGCCATATCATTCACATTATTCATCTCATCTCCCATCTTTATAAAGCATTGCCAAAACAACACCCGTACACACACATCTATAACCCATCCCGATTCACTCCCCAAGATGCAAAAAAAAAAAAAAAAAAAAAAAAAAAAAAAAAGGTCAAAATCATAAACCAGGCAACATCATAAATGCCCGCTCTTGTTGTTCTTGTTCTCCCCACGCCTAACCCGTGGAATAGTAGGTATCTCAAATAAAAAAAACACAGAAAAAAAAAAAACCATTTAAAAAAAGGGGGGAGGCTGAAAATTGTCCGTGTGCAATACACACAAAATCAGATGGTCCCGTTGCCCCCATTCCAGCCATCCTCGGGCCAACCGTAGTCATGTCATCTCCCTTTCTCCCTGTAACCATGCCGATGCTCCTTCATGCAAATTAATGAATAAAATAGCTTGATTAAAAAAAGACACATGTGAAAATGAAGATGAAAAAAAAAGGCGGGCATAAAGGCATAAACCACAAAATGAAATCAACTCCAGATGAATGCATCTGAAGAGATGTGAAAGGTGTTTCCCCCCTATACCTCTTCGACCCGTGTGTACCATTTCTTCGTTTGTTGGACGGGAGTCATAAAAAGCCGTCCAAAACCCAATCCCTAATGCCGGTTCCCTTAACCAACGCCCCAAAGCCATGCAAATCCATGTGCTGCATCCTGATGATGAGCAAAAGCTAAAGAGAAAAAAAAATTGGAATGATAAAAATAGCAAAAGTAAAAGAGCAAGGCAATGTAAAATGAAAACACTAAAAGTACAAATGTGGACAACCCCAGAAAGAGAGAGAGAGAGAGAGATGTGAAAAGAATACAAGGATGCTGAGACACTCTGCCGAGCAGAAAATGTCTTGAACCATCCTGCTCATGGAGCAAAAGCGGTGCAGATGTGGTTCCCACCCACCGACCAACCGCCGCAAAGGGAACATTGCAACCACGTCTAGGGTGCATACGGCACTTGCGGTGCGTGTTGCGAGAGGGACTGCTGGCCCCTGTTGTACACTATAAACTCGGGCACCACTCCCGTGCGCAAATCGTTTCGCCGACCAAGAGGCTGGTAATGCATGTGCGTGGGCGGCACGGGCACCGCCAGGTGATACTGATCCAGCGATGCCGACGGCGGCGGGTAGAGGAGCCTGTTGACGTGGCGGATGGGCTTGTAGGGACTGGCCCGCTGCTGCAGGTAGACGCTGGGCGAGTGCGAGATGGGCGTCAGGGCAATGGGCGTATGCATTCCCGAGGCGGCTCCGAACAGGGGCTCGGCCATTGGCGACGACGTATAAGCAGAGGCGAGGCTCACCGGCGTGTGCTGGTGCTTGCTGGGCGTGGTGTAGGCCATCGGCGGGTGGCTCTGCGGTGCTGCGCTGGGGAATCCAGTGGCGGGGACACTCGTAGTCGATGCTGGGAGGGTCGGTGGGTGGTAGGCTTCGTATTGTACAGGTAGAGGCGCAGCCGATGATTGGTATATGGATGGCTGATAGACGGTGGACATGGCACGCATGCCGGTCTGCAGAGGCGGCAGAGAGACCATGTTCTGGTTGGCGTAGGGCGACTGGGGGGTGTAACCGGTTGCCGGAGTGTAGCTGGCTGCTGCGCCCTGGGTAGCAGATGGTGACGTATATCCAGCCGCCAGCGGTGAAGTCGTAGTCGTTGTCGATACCGCCGGCGCCGCTGTCGGGAAAGCAACCGGCTGGGAGGTTTGAGGCTGCGTCGTGACAATGGTGAGGTGCGGCACGGGAAGCCTGCCCGACTCCGGGGCGGCCTTGGGCCAGGGCGCTCCGGCCATTGGAGCTCTGCGCATGATTCGTTTGGCTGGGTGATCGATGGGTTCCACGTCGGGACTGCGCTTTCGACAAACGGGCAGAGTCATGGACGGGCGAGCAGCCAGGGGCGAGACGGGATTGGCGTGGTACATGGCCCAGTTCTGAGCGTGTCTCGAAACAGGGGGCGAGTATGTCGTCACGGCGGCGGGAGCGAATGCTGCATCGGCGGCTGGCAGCGTGACCGTCGTGGGCGAGACGAGGGGAGAGTGGAAGCTCCTGGCAGAGGGAGAGACGGCTAGGGGTGATGCTGGAACTCGGAGCGCCTGCTCGTAGTAGTCGCGGAAACACGCCAACTTGGTCAACCAATCCTCCCACTCGTCCTTGGGGGCAAGGAGGTTGTATCGCATGTTGCTCAGAAACTCGACTTCCATGACGTGAATCTCGCCGACGCTGAAGCACGACACCTCGGCCCACGTCTTGTTGGTGTAGGTGTTGTCGTCGAGGACTGTGGGAGAGGCACGTTGTTAGCTATTTGTTTGCTTTGCTTAATTGCGTGATGCCCCCCTGGAAGGACAGATGGAGACATGGAGAAAGAGGGAAGCCATACATTTGTTGCCGAGCATGAGGGCCACCGTGAGCAATCGATACTCGCTGCCCTCTCGGCCCTTGATCTGCGGCGTCGACAACTTGAGTCTGTAGATGAAGAGCAGCGCGAGCAGAATCACGTTCTGTGTAACCTGGGTGGTCGACAGCACGTTGTAGACCCATTTGCGGAATTGCTCGTTTGGCTTGGCCAACTGGGCCAGGCGAGTGGTGAGCATGTTTGGCCGTGATCGAATCGTCTCTGCTTTCTTGAGGTGGTCAATGGATTCAAACCAAAAGAGGCACGTCATCTGGTGGAAGATCAAGTTAGCTATCAAAGGCCAAAAGAAGATGGCCAAACAACAGAAAAAGCAATAGAGCTTAGGAAGTTGCTTGGAATTGCTAGATTCGACGAACCTGGGCTGCAAAATCTGCCAAGCTGCCGCCGTTGGAGCTGATGCATCTCGGGATCTGGAGACTGTGGTAGATCAACGTCTCAGGGCTCCTCCTCGATGATATGGTATCCTTGGCGGAAACCGACGAAGCAGGCGTGGCCGATTTGGTAGAGCGATCCGAGGGAGTGCCGTGAAGAGTCGCAGTGCGTGACTGCGAGGTGGAACTCTGGGCGGTTTGGCTCTGCTGGGTGGGATATCGGTAGTACTGCGCAGCGGCATTCCTGGCATCGTGGGAGGCAACGGCTGCAGAGGTCGAGGTCCTGGGGTGGGCAATTGACGAGGCGTAGGATCGCAGAGCGTGGCTGTCGTAAGCAGCCGGCGCCTGCTGGTACGTGGTGCTCATCTCGTCGACTGGAGGCGTCCTCAAGCCCAGGTGAAGTCGGTGGTGAGGACGATGTTGATGTTGATGCTGAGGATGAGGGTGATGCTGGAGATGGCGGTGCGCAACGTCGTGGTAGGAGAGCAGCTTGGACAGGTGAGGCAGTCGTCGAGAGTCGAAGGAGCTTGACGGTGACAAGGGCAGCTGGACAAGATGCGACGTCGAGGGCGCGGCCTTGACAGACATGGGGGAAGCACCTATGACGAGGTGAAGGGGCTTTTTGAAGGTGGTGAGATTTTGCTGGCGGGCAGTGAACAAGCGTCACTGCGTTTGTTTACAGGCGGGGGGAAAGGAATGGCTGAGGAGAAGAGAAAAGGAAAAAGGAAGAGAAGAGAGAAAAAGCCCTCACGGAAGGCCTTTGCGCTGGAAGATGAAGGATTGTGGGATCGTGGGAAGTAAGTACGGAAAGGTGAGGCCAAGATGAAAAGGTGGACAGGAGCCGAGTTAAGTCAAAAGTCGTGTACTTTGATGTAGGTACCTCCATGCTCCAGTAGCAACGAGTGGAGGTTTCAATGATTCTTTTGGGTGTAAGTGTAAGTGCAAGTGCAGTGAGTGGACAGTGGAGGTACTAGGACCTAGAGGAAGAGGGTGTGGGTACCAAGCATTGGCTGCAGGCGCGGGCAGCCGGCGAGTACAGGTACAAGTACATGCGATACGTACATGCGATACGATACACGCAGCTGGCTGGGACCCCGGATTTATTTTGGTGGTGCGCTAGCGGTGGCTTTTGTGAGAGTTGAGTACTGTACATTTGATGGAGAGTCTCTGCAAGCTTCGTTAGCATGAAAAAGGCAATCAAGGCACTCAACTGAACTGGGCTGGCACTGGCACTGGCACTGGCACTAGACGGAGCCGGACCAGGCAAGGAACGCTTGCTGACATGCATCCCTAGCAGCCAATCCATCCATGGGGGACCGGCACAACTGAAGGCCGCTGAGGTTGACGCTGTTGAAATGAGAAGGGGGGCGTGTGTGGTGTGTTGTGTTGTGTTGCTGGTGTTTCCAGGAGAGGGAGAGCGTTTATTCATACACTGATGTACATTCATACATTCGCTCATTTACTCAAAGTGAACACCACATCAGGCTTGAAAAACACAAAAAGCGCCTACATACAGTACAGTACATTACATAGATGTTGAAATAAAAACGCGCCCGGAAGGGGAGGGTAGAGGGGGGGGGGGCAAAAGGCAAAAGGCAGCGAACAAACGAACGACTTCAACATCAATACATCCACATATTGTATGTAAACGGCAAAGTTTCGCTTTCGGCGGTCCTTGTACTACTGCTAGCCCAGGTGAATCCCAATCCATCCAATCCCAGAGTTTGATCAACATGATTACGAAAAATGCAACAACCGCCGCCGCTGGATTCTCCTCTCTTTTCTTTTCGTGGCTGCTCCCCGAAAAGATGGAACTTGTCGTGAACTTGAACTTGATCCCAGCCCGCCATCATGGAACCCAAACCAAGACCCAATCAATGGATGGCAATTGGCTCCAGCTTGGCTGCACTGGCACGCTCACGCGGAAGCTGGTACCTGCGCCGGGCGGTACCCACGCCGCGCAGGCATCACGCGGTGCGCGCAAGGTACCTCGGGGCCGTGGGTACATTTGGGTTTGGTCCAGCGGCGCTACGCAGGTGCTAAGGTGACGCCTTTTTTTGCCTGGGTCTGGGTCTGGTTGTGTCTGGGTCCTTGGGAGAGTCCACTTTCACTCGACCAAGTAAGTACCTAAGGAAACGGAGCACAGTACATTTGCAGGGAGCGTCACCGAGGGCGAAAACAGTCTTGGGGCTTTTTGGGAGGGGAAGGGGGCCCTTTCTTTTTCCCCATGTTCTTTTTTATTTTTCTCGCATCTGAATCTGTGCTTGGACGGTGCCGATAGTACTTGATTTGTATGGATCGTATACGAGTGGCGCTGCGGACACGACGCATGAGACAGGCGCCATTGCATTACGGGGGAGGATACGAGTCTGTTGGACGGAGCTGGTAGCGGTACAGTACAGATCCATTACTCTTGGGGAATCAATACCTCCATGCAAATGTACTCGTACCCATCACGTTGAGGCTCCCCCTGTATGTGTTTAAACCACACCAAGTTCATTCGCCCATCCATCCAATCCACCCAGTTGGTGCTCAAACGGCGCTGGATGGATGGATCCCTGTCGGTGCGTCGAGATATTAATCTGTTCGAGGATAGGATGGATGCCTCACCACTTGTGTGCGTGCATGCACAGGTACGGGAATAGCAGGTATGGATAGAGTAGGTATCAAGTATCAGTACAGCTCCAGAAGTCAACAAGCGAAACGACTCGAGTCACTTCTACTGTAGCGCCAGCCTCAATGGCAGCGCCGTGGCTCGTCTGAATCCATCAAATGCTTCCACCCTCAAAAGTCATTTGATGTTCCAGGCTGAGCCCATCAAATGCATGTACTCAACTTTTCACTACGTGCCGCCACAGAGGTAGCTCCAGCCCGGCGTGTACCTTTTTGCGGGGTTCCTCTGACAGTCTGCCAACCTGCCGCCAGCACCGACGGCCAAGGTACCGCGCCGCCTGGCTGTACTCATAACTCTACTGCACTGTACCGTGATAGAAGCGCTACAGTGCTTGTACGAGTACCTGCTGAGCTGGGAGGGTCACGCCGACGGTGGGCAGCAAGTTTCCATGTCCCCTGCAGCAGACCAGAACCAGACCAAGACCAGACCAGGGACCGTTTTCAAGGGAATCCCGCACTGCACCCCTTCCAGCGCTGGCCTCTAGCGGGCGACGAGCCCATGGAGCCACATCCCTGCTGAGCCCAGCTGACACAGCGCCTGGAACTGGAACTGGAACCGGAACACCCGCTCGCTCCAGTTCTCAATCATCAACGCTCATCAATGCCAATCAATCACCGTCTCCCCTTCTATTCGGTTCGCTTCCTTTTCGCCGCAAAGGAGGACAAAGAGGGGCCGCCCTTTTATTTTGGGGGCGTTTTCTTGTTCAAGTCCCTGTCCCCATATCTACAGTAGTAGTATATGCCCTTTGCCCTTGATAATGTCCTCAAATGCTTAATAGTGGCACCCCGGGCGACCCCCTGCAAAAGCCCACAGGCGCTTCAATATCACAGAGCCGAAGCGTGTTCTTGGTCTGGTCTGGTGCTAAACCGCGAAGTGCCATGGCCATGGGGATGAGCAATACGGACGGACATGCTCTGGAGACTTGGATGGAGACATTAGAAAATGCAAGGCAGCTAGTGCCAAGTAAGTTGCAGGCCACGGCATGGGGACAAAGAGACAAAGAGGCCACACGGTTTTTCTTGTCTCGGTGGGTTGAAAGTGTCATCAAATCTACTTGTTGCCAATCTGCAAAGTTCGACTTGCTTGCTAGTCCCCTCGATGTATTTCGCTTTTCCGGGCCTAAGAAACTAACGCACTTAAAAGTGTCCATTTCGCCGCTTTTTTCGATAGGCCAGGCGCGAAAAGAAAAAAAAAAAAAAAAAAAAAAAAGGCTGCGCGTACGGCACGCGCAAGGGCCCAGACAAAGAGGAGGAGGGGGGAAGAAGGCAAAAAATGAAGAGAATAGTCGCGAAAATAAAAAAGGGTCCATGTGTTAGCGAGGTGTCAACTGCGTCGTCCAATGTACTTTATTCACGATGGCGGGTGTTATACAGCTACAGTTATTGACTTGTTTGGCATCATAGTAAAGCTGTACAGTGATTCATCCCGGTTGCACAGTTGGCGAATACATGTGCTCTTGGATAATACGATACTGCCGGAAACAAACACCAGCAAACAATCAACGACACGACACTCGGAGTCTCGTATGTACTTTGCAGCTCCACTTGGAAATGGCCTCGCTCGCTACTAAGCAACAGGCTCAGGTCGTGTTCCGCGCCCATCCGATGGGCCAAAAGAACCTAGGACGGATGACGGCTGTGCAAGCATCATCAACATCGTACTGTACTCGTACATGGCCATACCAGCAATGCCTAAAACGAGGACTGCTCGTCTGTAATAATAAATGATGCCCGTCTTGATCTAGCTCCTTTGCAAGGCAGCACCATCGCGAAAAAGAAAAAAAAAGCTTCGTGGGCCACTTACAGCGTCTCCGGGGCTTGGCTTGGCTTGAATCACGAGGCTCTGACCGGCCACTGCACTGTACCGTACAGGACAAGTCAGTCTACTGCCTACTCGTACACGCACAGGCAGACAGGCAGGCATGCGTGATACATACCCACTCCGTCTGGATGGATGACTTTTGAAATCGATCCCCCGATCCGCGTCAGCCAGCCCCTGCGTGGAGCGGATACAAAAGCATAGCGCCAGGGCTTGCGGTTTGCTGATGACATGGACCAAGCAAGACCAAGAGGTAGCTGTAGCTGTAGCCTTGCATCGTGTGAGAGGGTACCTGTATTGTTTGCTTTGGTTTTCATTGCAAGAACTCATTCGACGATGAAATCTATAATGCTTTTGTGCAACTGTATAACGAGCCACTTGCAAAAACACGGCAGCAAATACTACTGCGTAGACCTAGCATTTCTCATATCTCAAGGTTAAGTGCTCGCATGCAACGACGGCTAGCCCAAGACTGTTCCGAAAAGGGACGGCGATGCTACAAGGTGCTAGGGGGGGGGGCCAAACCAGTAGCGCTGAATGAGACATTGAACCAAAAAAGAAGACGAAGAAAAGAAGAAAGACGTTTTGAATCAAACGGGAGCCAGGCCAGGGCATCATCTTCTCTCTTTCCCCCCTCTGCACGCACGGGAGAGACACGCCCCCCTTGATATCATCAGCCTACTGCAGTCCTTGTATAAGTTCTGTGCCTGTTTACATGATGCATAGAGTGCAACTTTTGGCACATGAAAGTTAAGCCTCAACGTATCTTCATGCTTTTCCTTTTTCCCTCCGTGTTTCTTACTGTATTTTTTTTTTTTTTTTTTTTCGCTCACTATTGCTGCTGTATATGCTCTCATGCAATAGAATGCCGGGCATACGCACCCCTTGTGCTTGGGGCTTTGTATTCCCTTTCTTTTTTCTTCCCCCCACCCCTCCCCCCCTTGGAACCTTGTGAAGAAGGCGGGAAGAGCTGAAAAGGGCCGCGTACCGTGCATGTCATTGGATTTGATTGGAGGAAGGGGGGCGGAAAGAGGCCTACACAGAGCACAAAGAGACGGAACAGCGTCTGGTTTTGTACATATCATTTGATTGCATTCGTTTCTTTTCTGGACGATGCCGGATTTCATTTCACGTCGCTTTTATAACACGCTACGCAAGGCGACAAATGTGTGTACTTGTACGATATTGAAGTTAGCATGAGGATTAGCAGTGTCGAAACTCATGCATGTCTCAGGTCCTCTCTGGCCTTCCATGTTAGCCACAGTGGCCGGCCCTGTACAGTACATGTACTAGCTGGATTACTACCCATCATCCAACTAGACGTCTAATAATAGCCGCCATGGACGAAGAACCTTGAAGATAATATCTCTTGGCTTTTCTTCCCTTTCTTTTTCCTTCCTTTTTCGAGGGAGAGAGCGGAAAAGCAAGGTAAGGTACATGCTCCTACAGTAGAACTTAGTCCCAGAGCCGCCGCATACCAGATGCCATCGTATCCGATTCGCATCCATGGTTTGAATCTCTGGAGCCCTGGGGGGATCCATCTGATCCATATCAGTCAGTCGCCCGTTGGGTCTTCCTGCGCCGGACTCTAGACCCAGCCGACGGCATGCACCTGTCTAAATGCGACCAAAACCCATTACGCTAAGGCACCCGCAATGAAATGGACTATCAGTTAAACCTTTTCGTATGAGTACTTGGCACGAGAAAACAAGCAGCTCATCATAACTCGCTCGTACTAAATAGCTGGTAGTCAACATCACCGAGTACGAGTACATTACGACGGTGATGTGTACGAGTAAATCACTGCACCGGGCAGGCATGGTTCAGGGTTCAGGCCCACCAAGTGCGGCGCCGTGGTATCAAAAAGAGAAGAGGGAAAAGCCTGCTTTGGGTTTGTTCTGGTCTGGCTTGGTCCACCTGGAGATGACACACTCATATCTCTCGGTCTCCATCGCAACAGGGCTCTGGGTTGATCAGCCGGAAAAACGCAGGAGAAGATGCAAATGGACTACGTCAAAGACTCTCGTTTATTACCCCCCCTTTGACTCACACACACACGCAGACACACGCACGCCCCTCTCTCAGTGCTCTCGCTCGTCTATGTAACTTGATATGGGGAACGCGCGCCCATCATTTTTTTTTATTCTGAATGCGACAAGAAGGACGGTATAGGTACATGTACGCTGGATGTATGCATGGCGTCTTGCGTAAGACATTTTTGGGGGAGATGCTGGGCCTCCCCCGTTGTAAGAAAAATAGTACAAAATAAATCGTTTTATCTAGCGGCACAGCGAATCAGACTGCGCCCTTTCGGGGTGAAGAAGAGGGGGGAAGGAGAAATAAGAGACAAAAAAAAAAAAAAAAGAGACATCGGCCCTTGTTCGTTGTACACAGGGCTGGTACATGTTAAAAAACTACTACTACTGGTATTGTGATCGAACAAGGGGGAATCCCTGAAGCAAGGCGAGGGAAGAATCCCGCATTATGGAAGACAGAAGCGGGAAATGGGCACTAGTATTTTGCCCTGTCCCAAGCCCAAGCATATTACCACATAATAGACGAAGAGGAGAGTGGCGTGGCAATTTGCGGCGTCGTATATGATAGTGCGAAGCTGTGCTTTGGAAAGAAAACAGCACATTACTGTACTGTACTGTAGCATCGACCGCTCGTTTACGGCATGTATTCAGCAGATTGCATGCAACTCAGATGCACGAGCGTAGGGGGGCTAGAAGCAGGGGAGATTGAAAAGGGTTAAGAGAAGGCGTCACATCTTATTTTTTTTGCCTCTGCCTCTGCTTCGCCCATATGATACGTGTACGAGTACGCTTCTGCTCGTATGTACTCGTACGGAGGTGTTATCCCCAACTAAATATAAATGATACGGTGGGCGAGGCGAGTGCTGCAAGATGCAACGGTGGGAGAAGGTACATGCATCATGTACGGGTTATCTGTATATGTGCGTGCGTGTGTGTGTGTGAATTCAAGCCGTCAGGTGGCTTCTAGCCGGTATGCTTTATTTCGCTTCACCTTTGCGTCGTCGATGTGTAATTCTTACCCCGTACTGTACAGTAGATGTGACATCTACTAAGCTGGCGACAAGGGCATATACTTACAAGGCAAGGTCAGGTAGACAGACAGACAAAACTGCATTTTGCATTCCGCCTTCTTCGAAAAATACCAAGTGGCATGGCTTGCGGCAGCAGCCTCTTTCAGACAAGACGACAAACCTCCCCTTTGAAGTCCTAGCAGGGGTCCTTTATTGGCTGCCAGGCCCTGATCCAGGCAGGTTCCCGCAAATCATCCCAGCCGGCGGACCAGGGGGATCCTCTAAACCATCAAAACGTGGTCTGGAACTGAATTGCCTTTTTTCGTCTTTGCTTTGCTTTTACCCGCTTCATGCTTTTTTGTTCAGTCTTCGTTGTTAGGGTAATGGGCAAGCAGGGCAGTTTCATTCCTTTGCAATGCCGAAGCGTGATACGTGTGGACTTGTACTCATACTTCTTCTCCCTCTCTTCAAGGATCTAAAGCGTAATCTCGCTGATTACCGAAAACTAGCCGTCTTCTGGCATAGATGTTGCCGTTGGAAAGAGAAAGGGTAGCGTGTTTCGTGTGCAAATGAAAATGGAACACGGATGCCATGTCTCGGCCCGTTGGGGAGATGCAAAGCTGGATATGCCAGAAGCATATGTGGGAGGTTGCCTGCACTACGGGAGCACCTTGCTTTACCTTGCCCGCCTAATACCCAGTAGGGAGCAATCGTGTGCTAAGATGCTTTGAAGCGAGGAATGAATGCCAATCAATAACCAGAGCGCCATGTCTCATAGTTTCAACGCCGAGCGTGTTCCGTATCAAGCGCAGAATAGCAGCCAACAGCCACCAGGACTGTGTACAAAGTGGCCCTGCGCACGACGCCAAGGTGGACAGGCCGTGCCCCAAAAAAGGTCATTGCTCGTCCCGGGCATGGGCATAGAGTAGCATCCAAAGGCTATACGGAGCACAAGGCGTCATGCTGCTGACCAGGTTTCCGGGCGCAGGTGTTAACAACAACGTCCGGCCATAGCTGAAGCTGATGGTGCCAAGCTCTCCCAGGGTGGGAATGGCTTTGTGTATAAGCCGCTTGCGAATCAAAGACGGGTGTTATGACTTGGACGAAATCTTGACGCCGGCCTCAGAGACATCATGAGTGCACCATCAACGTTCCATCAAGACAAGATGGCTTGATCGCTAACAAAAGAAGAAAATATATCATCGACGAGTTTCCTGTTGTCAGTATCAAACCCCCGTTCGCTAAATACTTTTTTTAGTCACCAAGCTACTATTCGATCAAGCAAGTCTCCTTCAGACGCCCAATCACAGCCCACAACGCACCGAGGAGGGGGGCGTGCGAGGCGGCTGCTTGAAGACGGCGACTTGCTGTGGGTGTGAAAGGTACGAGTACATCGGAGGATAGCAGAAAGCAGAGGCTCAACGTCAGCCATGTCGGCCGTGTTGCGGAATCGGGAGTACCAGTGCCCGCAAAAAGAAAAACGCGTGAGCAGTGGCTGGCTGTTTGAGTGATGCATGAATGAGAATGGGCATTGATTGCCATCGTGGGTAGCGTATGATCCGAAGAGTAGATGCGGCTTGCTAAGGTGCGGTCACAGTGTGACGCCCAGCGCCCCCAGCCTCAGCCGTTTGTGTGCCTTTTTACACCCAGCTTATTAGCTTCAAGTCATCAACCGTGAGTGCTAAATCAGCCGGTCCACAGCCAACAAAAGCCCAAAGATCAACCGAAAGGCGGCCTGATCCCTTCATGTTCGTTCTCGTCAGGCGCAGCGGGATGGCCTAGGCGAGGGCGTATGATTCTCTCAAGGCTCGCCCTGTACGACGACTCGTGCTGAAAAGCCATGATTGTGAGGCGGCGTCACTCGTCCCCTTGTCTGCTTATGAACAGGGAAAATGCTTGGCTCTGATGGAGTGGCTCCGATTGCGTGAATCGCTCGGTGGCGGCGTGCGTCAATGTCTCATACGGGCATCCACCAAAGAAAAGAAGCCAAAACAAATTTTGCGCAAGGACGAAATTCGGCAAAGGCACGAGGGGGAGGAGAAAAAAGGAAGTTTTCGTGGCTCGGCGGCAGCCATCCAATTCCAGCCAGCCATTATTACCGAGAGATGGTTGTTCAGGTGGCCCCAAGCATCGAATCACAGGCACAAAGAGGGCCGGTCCACTAATGCTGCTCCATACCTCTCCGGCCTACCTGGTCAGAGGAGGGAAAATCAACAAATAATGGGCAATAGCGTGTGCCGGCTTCTCACGACATACATCCAGAGTACAGCACTGTGTGGAGTACCGGAGAGCAGGTTGTTTGCATTGTTCTTGTTCGAGTCCGACGGTAACAGGCGTCCGCTGAGGCGAAAAGACGACGCTTCCGGTTGCATTCACTCGTCCAAGACGGCGTCAGAAAGCGGAGTGGAGATGGATAGTCCAGGAGTTCCTTTTCCTGTCCGAGGCCCTGCTGTTGGACCTCAACCTAGCACAAGCAGAGAGCGGCGCTAAAGATAGTTTTGTTTGCCTTTTGCCTTGGCGCAAGACGCGGAGGCCAATATTTGCCCAGGTAGCATTCGGATCAACTCATTGAGTGCTCGGCCGTGATGATGGAATCCTTGCCCACTCAGCACATCCGACGCCAGCACCGGATGGATCCCCCTGATGGCTAGACTCAGCCGTGTTTAAAGAGGCTGCATGTTGTGGTGAATCCTGTGATGGCTGTTGAGAACATTGGCCCGTAGCCGAGGGCCTTGGGCTGGACAGTATGAGTAGAGCAGTGGCCGGGGAGGGATTAGCCGCGCCTGGAATTGCACCTCTTTGTCTTAGGTTTCCAAGGCTGAGTACTCACTCGTGCTCGTAAGTGAGCATCACAAGCCGCATCTTGTCTGTGCTATATCTCGTATGGCTTGGTGGCAGCAGCTTGTTTCAAAGCGACCCAACGGCCTGTTGCAACTGCTCAAGTTTCGGGCTCCTCGGCTGTGACCTCGGCGACACGCATGCTGCGTTGACTCTTTTTCTTCTTCGCTTGTGATTTTGATGCCTAGCCCCCTTGTGCTCTAACCTTGACACCAGACGCTTGTTAGCACCTTGCATTCGGCGTTCCACAATCACGGGAAGCCTGAGTAATACAGACCTCAGGCTTGGTATCCGTATACTAGATGGTGTACTGTAGCACTGCACTGCACTGCACTGCAAGTACGGAGACGGAGACTCCATCTCCATACTCCATACTCCATACCAATGTACTCTACTTGCTGCACTCCGTAGCCGTACGTCCGCACGCACATTAACTTGAGTTAGTTCCAGTGGAATGCTCTGCACGATGGCCACCGGCCCACCTCGAAACTAGCTGTTCTGCGGCCGTGTGATTGGACGATCAATGTCGATTTTGCAGTCGGCCATGCTAGTGTAAGAGTGTGAGAGAAGAGGAGAGTCATATTGTTCGCCATCATATCATATCTTATCAGCGTAGGCGAGTGTTTTTGGTGTTTGTTTTAGAGGTACCTCGCTATATCACTACATGCACAGCTGGAAACCAAGTACATGCATACCTCTGTCGGTTCGCAACCTGAGCATCCAGGCATCCAGGAATAGGTACAGACAGACCGGCCAGATCGACAAAACACGATACAATATAATTCAACACGAACATATCGTACTCGTACATACAAAACCAGTAAGCTCCAACCATGTCTCTCACGATATGATATCAATGCATATTCGTCATCACGATTCTCCTCATCCCAGCATCTGTCGCGCACAGGACCCAAAAGCGGGCCAGGGCTCCATCGTCAATCAGCCTCGATCCTTCTGGCGTCAAGCTAGAGGCGCTCGACGGAGCACCCATGGCCTCGTACGACTGCCAGTATTTCTGTACTGTATCAACAAGGTGCTGGGCGATACGGAGTACGGAATACAGGGAACAGGGACGGGCTCGAGATAGGTATGCTGCTGGGTAGGACATTGCGAAGAATGCCCGTTGCAAGCCGTCTCCGATTTGAGCTGGTGATGTGATGATACGGCATGCCATGCCACTCACTCACTCGCTTTGCCTTGCCACGCTTTACTAATCCCGTCGAAACAGGTACGAGTACTCGTACTTCGTGCCCTTGTTGCTCTCCCTCTCGCGCATTGGCCGTCAGTGTCAGGCGACAGTGTGACGCCCTTGTCCTCATCCCACCACCCGATCCAACATTGATCTACTTTTACGGAGTACTTGCACGCCTTCAAAGCTTCAAAGGGAAAAGGCCTTGTCGAACAACCCGAACCCACTCCACGGCCCAGCAACTGCTTGTTAGTTGATCGCTGGCCTATCCTAGGCGACGCCACGAAAACTGACTTGGACGCCCCAAGACAAATGGTCGGCCGCAGAAGACATGCACGAGCACTCGTTACCGTACCGTACCGGGGGCCACGACGGTCCATGCACACCACACATCATCAGGTGCGTCGAAGCGCTTGTGTGTACTTTGCACCACTAGCTAGCACCAGCAAAGGTCATGGCATCAGTCGGCGCCTGGCTCTGCTTCCAGGTATGACAAGGGCCATCACTTTCTGTTTGGGCGGTGCCGTCACCTCCTGAGCTGCTGCCAACGAGGCACGGGAGTGTACTTGTACTTGTCTACTTGGACACATTAGCCTCATGCTGCTTTCAGGGGGACCGTCATAAGCCGCAAAAGAAAAACTGCCCAGATGCCACTGGAATCGAGTGTCATATGGGGGTGCACGCACGCCTTACAGGTAGGTGGTATGTATGGTATGGTATGGATGCTTGCCATATGGAGTACCTTCTTCTTGCAAAGCGTGAGATAAGTGCTACAGCAAGGTAGTATGCAATATGAGAATGCGGTCCCCCTCTTTGGCAGCTCAACTTGACTGGTCCAGAAGCAGCCCCCCCTTTAGCTTGGGACATGGCGTCCAAAGTTGCTTTCCACCTCTGTTGCCTCATCGTTTTCTTTTCTCATTTGCTCACATTCTTCGCGTTTTCCTTCTCGCAGCCGGGGTTACATCAGCTGCGAAGCGGCAACCAAATGGCAACGCCCGTTAGTCTGGGCCGAGCATCACTGCGCCCGGTCCGCAACGAGATTAGCCCTGTTTCTCATCATTTCAATTTCTGTATGCCGTGTCATGCCCTTCCCTCGCCGTCGATGGTGACGATGGTGATCCCTTTCTGACCTCCTTAACCTGCCACCCCTCCCTGAAACTGAGAAAAAAGGAACAATCCGCGGCTTGATCGGACGCAGCTGAGGCTCCCCGCCTTCGCCTTGGGCCGCGTCTCTTACCTTGGCCCCCGGCCACTTCACGTTCCGGTGGCACGGCGGAGGGCTGACGGTTCCCTACTCACTTTAGGCTTAGACGCCTTCATCATGACGGGCAAATCCAACAGGTTTAATCGAAGTGCCACCTTGGGTTCCACAAACTGACCAAGTTCCGGGCTATGCATGTCCTTGCTGCACTAACATCAACCTCCTTTACCCGGGCGGTTCTCTCATTCTCAAACCCCATCAGCGCCATAGTTCAGCGGCTTTCAATGAATCCTATGCTGTACAAGTTTCAGTGAAAGTCAACCCTCGTTCCGTCATGAGCCTAAAAATGCCTGCTTCTCAGCCAAGGTCCACTGGCTGATAAATAAGCCAATCTTACATACGCCTCAGCGTTAGGCCTCTTTTATATCTCGGGTATCGGGTTATACACCAGATTTGGCATATTGGCGTCTGGGTTATTTTCGCAGGCATAGCAAAGTAGCTCTTTGGAAGCACGGTCTCGTCAAAAGCACAGTCGGTTCTCCTCAATGACAGCATGGGATCGCGATCCTCTGGTCTGGTCTGGCTGCCTGATTGGTACACCCTCCGTCTGTTCGCTGCTGGATCATCCCACGCCTTTGTTCAGGATATCTGGATGGAGCAAACACGGCATAGCAAAGCCGGTTACAGGAGCGGGATTTCGCTGCAGGCCCCAGTGGGCGCCAAACCCCTCACCAGGCTTGGTGATCCTTTGATAGTCGCACCATGTCGGGTCCCTGATGACGACCACGGCCAAAATGGGACGCTGCTGTGCAAGATGAGCTTTCAGGACCCAAGACGTACCGGAGTAGAGACCAGATACCTGTGTATGGAGACTGCGAAACAGTTCATTCGTCAGCACCAGCGATATCTTCGAATGTTCTCTTTTTCCCCTATAGCCATGTGATTCAACCTGGATGTAGGCCACGTAGCAGGCCTTCCCTCGATTTCCGTCGCGATGCGAAGGTCCAGCGGTTCGTCGGCTGCTTTGCTTGGCAGCCTGCTCGGCTCTCGGAGACCGATGAGGGGAGAAAGGGTATTATAACGCCATCGACTATGCCGATGATCACGACAGTCCAATCTCCAACACACGCTATGGCACGCTCTCTCTCCGCACTCTTTCTCGGAGACCGAAGATAGCTCAAGACGGTTATGACTCTTAAGCTGAGGAGTCTTGAGCGATTCTTCGTCAATGCCAACACGTCCGAACATTGGGTGATTCTTTTTGATAGTGCATCGTGAAGTTTCTAGATCTACATTTGGCCACCACGCTTTGATCAATATGACCAAGACAACCACCGCAGCCCTCTATCCCAACGCAAAGGTAGCCGCCGAGGTGGGGACGTACTCTGAGCAGAATTCAACCTCGTTGCCAAAGAACCTCATTGAATATCATGACTTCATAGTGGAAAGCCGTTCGGACTCGGATTATATGGTATCGAGTTTGCAAGCACAGAGCCTTGCCTTTTTTGCCAGAGCCTTTGGCGCCAAGCGGATTCTTGAGATTGGCTCTTATGTTGGCTTCTCTGCACTTGTTTGGGCACATGCTGTTGGCCAAGATGGCAAAGTGACGGGTCTTGAATTCTCAGAAGAATATGCCAAGATTGCAAACGAGGCTTTTGAGAAGCATGGTGTGAAGAATGTGGAAATCATCGTGGGAGATGCACTCCAAACGTAAATCAACTGCCTTTTCCACCGTTTCTTTCACCCTTATGGAGAGCTTTGTTCATGAGCAAGACTAACAAAGATGAAGGCTTTCGACTTTGAAACCCGAGGAGCCGTATGACTTGATATTCATTGATGCTCAGAAATCAGGCTATCCCGACTATCTCCGGGATATTCTGGCCGGCTCTCGGCCTGGTTCAACTACACGGCTCCTTCGCCCTGGCGGCATCATCATTGCAGATAACGTCCTCCGGCGTGCTCTAGTAGCTGATGGGAGTGAGGAGAATCCAAACTGGGGATTGCAGCGACACGTGAAAACTGCCGAAGATGACCTTACGGCCCTTCGCAAGTTCAACGCAGCCTTGGCAAACGATGAACGGCTGGAGGCGCTCCTCTTGCCAGTGTTTGACGGCGTCGGTTTTGCGAGACTACTCGATTGATTGGAATTCGGGCTCTATGTACAACGTTCCATGAGTAGGATGGAGCCGCCAATATAGGACCAAACTTGGACCCTTGTTGGCAAGGATCCCGTTGACTCTAGGAATCGTGTAGCTTCTGTTGCGAGAGACGGCGCAGAGTCAGCTACGAATATAGACAAAGTTGCCCACGGGCTGAGCTTCAATCTAAAGATAATATCTCTCAAAATGACATCTTAGCCGGATCTCGCTCAACAAACAACTTTTCGCCACATACCGTGGGGTGATGGCAAGGCTTTCCTAAGCCGGTTCAGGGCGCCCTCCGATTGTAGACATGACATGACGAATGGATGCTCTAAGGAACTGTGCTGTTGTTGCGTAAGTGAGCGTGGTCAAGTGAGGTTATTCTTAGGACCGACAGCCGTCAGAACACGGAGTTTTCGTCGTGATAATACTCCGCACGAGTAATTGCAGACCATGTAAGACCGATTTTCGATTCCTATGTAGCCCGCTTATTCCTGTCCGCTCTTCTCCTAGTGGGCCCCCGATCAGGTCAGAGCAAGTCATTCCGGTGTGGCGGCGACAAAAGACAAGGATCTCTGCTTGGTCTTTTTGCGAATCGTGAATGGCAAGATGTCATTGATATGGGGAACAACTTGCTGACCCTGCTATTTCCTGTGAGTGGGCTGGTTGGTGCTATCGGTAGGCGAGAGCGGATCGAGGCAAAAAGCTGCGGTTAATAAGAAACGACTCACTTACCTACATGGTGAGGGAGGGGGGCGTGGAATGGGGGTTTGTTAAGCTATTTCGGTTTGGTGATCTACGGGGATTACGCCTTTGGTTGGGACCAGAGCCGTTGATGGTTGCCTGACGAGTGAGAATTGGCCTTCGTCGATTCGTCGTGTGTTGGTTGAGATATTTATGTGTACTGTACAGTTACAAGCAGGCTTGCTGACGGACAGGGATGGTGCTTGTTGAGATTTCATCGAGATATGCAGGCTATTTATTACCTACTGTATGTTGAGTGAGAAGGTACACGTAAGGTATGCAAGTGTGTGTAGATGAAGTGTGAGAGTCAGAACTATGTATCTTATGGTCTCGGCTTTACTACAGTGAAGAATCCGGGACATGATATCGGCTGTGATACATATTAGAATTGATCTCTTTATTTTTTCTCGACCCAGCGAGTGAGATCAAGTAAATCTCGGCTGATTAATGTGAATGGTTTATCACTTGAATTTTGGGTTTGCCTTGTTCCCTGGGTAAATTGCTAGTTGGTGGTAATTTGCTGGATCTAGTGACGGCTAGGCTGTTTTATTCAAGTTGGGGCCGGTTGAATTGATTCAACTGGCTTTTAAGCGTTGGGGAGGAGTCTTGCATAGTAGATACATTTGTGTGGGAATGGAGTGTAATTCTTTTTTTGAAAGAAGGAGAAGATTTTGTTGTGGTTTTGGTGATTCTAGGGTAGCTGGTGATGCCGAAGGAGATGGATAACGAGTAAGTCTACGTGATTGATATGAGAACTTGTGGGAAAGAAGGATGGACTTGTGATGTTTAAACATGTTATCCTCCTGTTGCTGCTTTTGTGTTCATCGGATTTGTGTTTGAAAAGTCGGCAATGGGAAGATGTAGAATCGTTGATGTGTAATATAAAAGTGCCATAACTTCGCCTTAACAAACACGATGACAAGAAAGCAGGAGAAGGGAAACCAACAAGTACATAGCGTGTCACAAAAAAGTGCTCTCAATATCACGCATGCTCTGAATTCATAATGGCTGCATCATACCCCCTATCTAAATGGTCAATATCTTTTCCCTCCTAATGCAATAAAAAGCTAACAACATGCTCCAATGCTCTCAACCGGCCGTCAAACTCGAGTATACGTATATATCAACATCACGGCAATGCTAAATCGTCAGATGCAGGACTGCTCGCCGCAGTGCTCTCTCCCGCCTCCGACTTGGCCACCTCCTCTGCAACCAGGTCCGTCCATCTATCGCCCCCCGTACGCAAAACATGCTGCGTCGACAGACAATCGCCAAAGTGCCTCTCCCTCCTGGTTGTCCGGCGCTCTCCGCCTTCCAACGCCGAGTAGGCGCTCCTTGTGGTGCGCATTCGCTTCCGCTTGCCGCCCTCGCTGAGGAGGTTGCTCAGCTTTAGTCGTCTCTGCATGAGCTGGTGTTCATATGCCACGATGCCCCGAACCCATGGCGCGACATCGAGGACAATGAGCGCCGTTGTGCGATCGAAAACGGATGGGTCGAGATATGTGGTTGGAGCAACCTTGGGAGCCACAGCGATGGGGTCAAATGCGCTGGCAATGTCCATCCTCGTCGTTTGATGAGGATACGACCGGAAGAATGAATCGAGAATTGCAACAGTCTGCTCTTCATCTGCTGGCTTCGAGATTGGTGCCGAGGCCTCATCAAACGTCTCTGTAGGCGACTCATGCAGCGTTGCACAAGCCAGAGCCGTGATACATGTCGAAATGGCCTTGTCAGGTGCAGCATGATGTACCACGGGTTCGGCATCTAGCAAAGTCTGTCCCAAGATGAAATCATCTCTGATGTGACTTGCGAGCTCGGGTAGTGTTGGGTCGATAGTCTCCTGGAGTTTGACCCCGTAGGCGCCCCCTGAGTAGAGATCCGCACTGCTCATGGCACTGCAAAAGTCATCATATGCCTCCAAATGCCTCAGAGTTGTTATATCTCTCTTTAACTCTGCAGTATTCGTAGCCGGGAATCTCATGTCGACACTGTTGCGCCAATGCCCCATGTCGAGACCCCAAAAGTCCCAAGCTTGCTCCATGGCCTCTTGTTCAGCAGCAAGTCCCCTAGTAGAGACGACCGGGTCTCGACTAATCCATCCCATGCCCCTCTGATAAGTATCTTCACTGATGACTCGTACCACATCGCCGTTCTCGTCAAGGTCGGAGCCTTTGGGCCAGCGAAGATAGAACCAGTCAAACCCGCCCTTGCGGTCGCCAACTCCAATCTGGCACCAGTAATTGAGCTCAGTGATTGTGGCTCTCAAGTCGTGATTGCGAGAGGTATACAAGGCCTCAACAGCTGATCTTTGAAGGGCGTGGCCTTCATTTGCGGCTATAAGGAGGCAGAGATCCACGGCTAGGCTTGAGGGGGCGGGTGAGAAACGAAAGATTCCATGTAGATTCAAGCTCTGCAGGGGCACTAGGCTCTCGTCGTTGCAGGTCATGATGAATGGTCGTTTGGACTGTGCAATGAGACTGGTCAGAGTTGCCCAGAACTGCTTGTCTTCTTCGAAAAGGATGTCGACTTCTTCGAGGAGAATGAGGGATTGCTTTTGACTTTTAGGCGGCGCTTTCGCCTCTTTCTCGACGCTCTCCCCAGGCTGCTTTGCTCGTTGCGGCTTCGTCGGCTGTGTCGTCGCCTTTGGTTTGAAAAACGATGTCATCATGCCTTGCTTCCCAGAGTTGATATCGTTGGCCACCTCTTCTGGATCGATCGCAGTGGATTCGGCTCGATTGTGCTGCACCAAGTGATTGCGTGTCATGTCGCCAACCTTTTCCAGAATATCCTTGCCGCTCCGTCGACTACCAGCGTTGATTTCGAAAATCTCAAAATCCAGCTCCTTTGCAACCGCGTAGACTGCTGCTGTCTTGCCGCTTCCATGGGGTCCGCTTAGGACGATGGCATTTGTGAGACGGCCCTGCTCTTTGCTGCCCTGGCCCGCCATACTGATACTACGCATCACAGACCTCTTGAGCAGCCCCGAGCCAGGCAACGCAGCCCAGTCCTCGTCGGTGTCGGAAATTTCATCCATCTCAGCATCCTCCTCTTCGCTATCAATGACAAATCCGTCGAGTTTATTCTTCTTTCTCTTCTTCTTCGGCTTTCCCTTGCCCTTGTCGCCTTCTGAACTTCCGGACCCTACAGACTGCACCCTAAGAGCTTGTAGCCAGTCGCTGAGAAGTAGTGCCTCCTTTCCTGGCTGTAATACTTGAGCAGCTGTGACTGGGGCGTACTTTTGAATCCAAGCGCTGCCTTCACATTGTGATCTGTCAAAGGCGGAAAGTTGTGTCTCCAAGGTCTTGTAGAGGCGACTGATGGCAGGGTGGGTTTTAGAGTGTTGGTGAATTGCAAGCTCGTCGACGCCGAGATTGCTCTCATCGTAGTTGAAGTGGTTGGTAATATGACTCTGTAATTGTGGTCGGATTCGTTTTTGGAGTTTTCGGCCGCTTTCAAAATGTCTCTGGGGTAAGCGTAGTTCAGGAGGCGCTGGTAAGAAGTTGTTGTCGTCCTTAGGAAGGCTGTGACGCATTCCCGTCATGTCCAACTCATCTACAAGCTGCCGCAGCACAGACTCATAAGGAGCAATAGAGACAGCCACCCTTTTTGATCTCCTGTATCCTATTCCCGATTCCCGAACAGTTGCCCTCGTGTATGGAAAATCGGCATCTCGCACATGAGCCATCCCATGAGCTGGCCATAATGGATACATGGCACCGGGGATCTTGGTACCGCCTGATTTGATGCCAAACTGGATGGCTTTTCCCGAAGAAAAAGGATTCCTGGGTTTCTTTGGTGAGACCGGCGTAGACATAAACACACTGCTCTTGTAGCTCGACGATTTCTTGGTCGAATCGCCTGGTGTGCCGACATCAGATTGCGGTTTCGGTTTGCCCATGAAGAATGGGTGTGTGGTTTTTGATTTTTCAACTGTCCCGGTTCCCTGCTCTTGTCTAGGCTGCGTACTTTTGCGTTTGCTCGGCTCAGGCGACAAGTTCAGCCTTCCTTCGAGTATCCCAGTAATCTTGTCGCTCATATTCTTTCGATGCTCGTTGTCCCGTCCATATCTGATTGTGACAATGCGACTCGGCTTGCTTGTCGCTTTTGGCTTTGGGGGCGAGCCTAATGTTCCAGTTTTTGGATTGAACTTGAGAACTTTCTTCGGCTGCATAGGAACGGGCGTTTGGTCTCGTAGAGAGCTAGGAGGGAGTTGTGGAGGCTCGGCTTTGCTCAATGTCTGGAGAGCTGCTTCATCCAGCTGCTCTGGGGTCATCTCGCTGAGCGTTGACGCAGGAAAGTCGGTAGCCAGCTGGCCAGGCGTGGGTTCGCTTGCGGATACGACATCTTGGCCTGGTCTATTGAGATGGCTCAAAATAGCACCGTTCAGTGTCTGTTTTGCACTCTTCCTTCCCCGACGAGACTTTTTGGCTTCGGGATCGTCGTGGGCCAGAGGAGTGTCTGTCCTTCTTCGCTTTC